ATCGTATAGTAATATTTAAAATTGTATGTTTCGATCAAACCAAATATAGCTCCCATCCATCTTGAATTCTCAACTTATTCATGTTTATTAGAGCTGCTGATATTTGTAATGTGTAGAATTGCAGAACCTCTGCTTTTCCAAGCACATGAAGCCTCATAAATCACACACTAAGTTTTTTCTACCGAGCTCGGCTGTGCAAATCTCGGCAAAAATTTGTTTCACTGAGATCTCAGCAAAAGTGACATTTGATTGCTGAGTCTCGGACAATGCTTAGCTGAATCTCAGCAAACAAATGAAATGTTTGCTGAGATCTCAGTAAAACTTTTTTGCCGAGTTAAGCACAGCCGAGCTCGGTAGAAAAAACTTAGTGTGCACGTCTTGCCGGGTTATACGGATTCATTTTTCATGTTAGGCCATCTTCGGATATGATATTTTTTATCTTGTTTTCCGTTACAAAGTTCTTGGATTCCGCTTATCAGATTCCGCTTTGACACATAATGTTGATTTACACTGTAGTTTGTATTTGTTGATGGATATAAGGCCAGACTACTTTGATCATTCTTGAGTAATTATGAGTTACTCAAATTTACTCTGAGCAAAAATATCAACTTTGAGTACAGATGGCTTGCCCCTAGCCCGGGACAAACTTTTCGAAAAAAATATCTCAGAGATTCCATGGCCGCTTAAATTTAAATTTATTTAACATCATTCCGGTGAGTGGTTCTTACATCTGTTGTGTGGTACTCAACGCCACGTCTTTTACCGCAAGAGAACTAATATACCGGTCGGTTGTGGAATTTGATACGGGATCGACGGTAAACATGCTCTCGTCGGTGAACAGGATTACCGGATTTTTTCGCTTAAGGAAGTTCAAGATTTTCTTGCATCGTTTGACTCGTAGCTCCCGGATGCGGTTGGTAATCATGTGAGTTTTTTTTCCGTGCCCTCGACCTCGCCCCGCAATCTTCCTTTACGATCTTCCGTGCCGTAAAGTCACTGATCCCGTGTTCCTTTGCCATTTTCCTTATTGAACGCACTGGATTCACCTGAATCTTCCTTTTGATAGCATCGATAACCCTCGGAACCCGAGCTGACCTCGGACGATCTGTGGCCACCTTCGCGGATAGTTGTCCTTTCATTTCTCGGTCTAAAACCCTTTTGACGGTCCACCGGGACACTCTCACGGCGATTGAAATGTCCTTTTCCGACATTTGTGCGTTGGACAAATCACGAGTACGCTGCCACTTCGTCATGGTGCAACTGTCAAACTAAGTAAATCATTTTCTTTTATGCACAGCTTACTACGGTATGAGCTATAGGTTACGTGCATGCAAAGAAAACCAAGGCATTGTATGCACAGGTGAAACGGGAACCTTATTTGTACGATGGTGCAAACATTATCACGCATACGGTATCTAAACCATGTCCAGCGACATATCATCTCGCATCCACTCGACAAAATTTGACCAATAGCTCTAACAAATAATAACAGAGCCTTATGGCCACTGTAGAACCGGTTCCGAGTATCCCTAATTATGGCATATCAAATCCAATCTACTCAACGAAATATGGCCAATGACACTCAAAACAATGGCCCCCTAAAAGCCGATTTAAGGTATTCCGAATATATATGGCATAACATACCTAAACTGGCAGTGGAAGAACCTCATCAAGAACAGCAAACTAGTCGATGGAAATTGGCCCACGGCCCAGTCAAGCAGTCGCCCAAGATGGAAGTCTTTCATGTTTTAATGGGGAAGGGAGGATGGCGATTTAACGAAGAAGGAGAGTTCGTGGATTAAGGGGGTATTCCCAATCTTTTGCCTTTTTTCGGCCTGTTTTTCAATTAATTTTTTTCAAGGAAAATGAATAGTAATGCGCCTAACTCTTTGGGATTCTTGTTTATTGAACATTAAAGTTTACAAATAAATTTTTTTCGACATAAAAAAAGACATTATTGACGTCACAAAATGGCGGCAAACAGACCCCTGTTCGCCGCAAACGCCTGGACGGGCGAAGACTTTTCTCTGGAACGGCTTCATCTGAAACAGATTTCGTGATGAAATTATAATCTGCATAAGATTCTCTGGAGCTTCTCCCGTTGGCAGCAAAAAATCTTGCAAATTAACAAAATGGCGGCCATATGAAAAAACAGGCGATTTTTAGCCCGCTTTTTTGCAGCTTTAAGGTGCTTCAAACAATGTTAAATGTTAATATTTTTGGCTGAAAGTGGGAGAAGCTCCAAAGAATTTAATAAGGAACAAAATGCGCAAAGATTCAAGTCAATATCTCTTATAGTTTCTGAGAAAAATCTTCGCCCGATAAAAAAAATGTGGTTTCGAGAAAAACGCGTTTAAAGTTTTGACTTTAGTTAAAACCATTTGGGGTTTCTTACCATTAGTCAGCTATGCCTGGATACCGAATTCGCTGATCGGAAAACGGCTTGGGGGGATGAAAGTATATAGTCTAAAGTACAAAAAAACGTGAAAAAAAAAAATTTGATTTTTTGAAAAAAAAGATCGGGAATACCCCCTTAAGGGAGAAGGGAGGTTGACGCATAACCACAGTTAATGCAAAATTTAATATACGTGCATGGACAGGCATGGAAAATCATTTGCATTCATTTACATTCATTTGCCTCTAACTTTTTTCATCAACAGTATTCCGCAAAATGATGTATAGAGCTTTTGTAGGTTTTGTTATAAGCCCAAGCCCAGAGCTTCCTTTTTGAAACCTAGTAGTAGTCACATAGTCACTATGAACGGAGTTCCAATTTCCTGGTCAAACCAAGTGAAATATCTTGGATTAGTTCTTGACCAAAAATTAACTTTTAAAGATCACATTGAGGGCATTCAAGCCAAATGTAACAAATATATAAAATGTTTGTATCCTCTTATAAACAGGAAATCCAAACTTAGCCTGACGAATAAACTTCTAATATTTAAACAAGTTTTTAGACCGGCCATGCTTTACGCTGTGCCAATATGGTCTAGTTGTTGCACTACCAGGAAAAAAGCACTTCAAAGGATTCAGAACAAAGTTCTGAAAATGATTTTGAAGGTGCCTCCCTGGTACAGTACTACCGAAGTACATAGAATTTCGAATGTTGAGACTTTAGCACAAATGTCCAACAAAATAATTAATAATTTCCGGCAAAAATCGTTGCAATCCTCAATTGCAACGATTAATTCCCTTTATACTTAGATAAGATTTAGTTTTAGTTTTTTTTTTTTTAAGCTATCAATTGTTATACTGACATGCAGGTTTAAAAAAAACCTATTTAAAAAACTGAATTGCCAAGACAGGAACAATGTAAAAACACTTAGATATATGTCATAACAATTAAGGGTGGTAAGTTACTGTAGTAACTGGAGCACCTAGGTTAAAAATGAAATGTAATTTATTTTAAATTTAGAACAAATAAAGAGTTAAAAAAAAAACCTCCCCTCCTTTGTAACGTTTTTCCTATACCTAATGTATTTCTTGTCACATATTTGATCACATAAACATTCTCTGAGGTTTCCTAAATATTAATAATTTTCCGACACTTATAAATGTTGGATCATTCATAGAATTCTATTAGTATCCAATAATTCCACGGAGCTTTTTTTTAAAGTTTCTGCAAATCCCTTTAGTTTAATAAGGTTGATCTGAAGCTATCTGATCGTCCTCAATGTACTCGGGACCAGGCATGGAAAATCTATCATTCTATTCATTTGTCTCTAACTTTTTGCATCAGCAGAGTTCCGTAAAATTATGTACAGTGAAGATTCCTACAGTACGGATTCGCTTTTGCCGGATTTCTATAGTACGGTTGCCACTGGATTCCTATAATACAGTCGATCCGGCATCAACGAATACACGTATCATATCGGATTTGAGCTAATTGGGACCAAACACTAACGGCAACAAGTTGTTAGGCAGATAGGTGGTCACCTTTTGGAAACATTCTGTTTCCGGTAGGTCACAAGTCTGGTCCTATGGAGGATCCGGAACACCCGTAAAAGTGATCGATTCATGAAACTGATCCTAGAATTCCGTGGTTTTTGTCGAAACCACTCATAGACGTCTTATCAGAATTAATTCGGAGTTGTGAACGGAATATGGACTTTGGGGACTACGGGATGGTCCACCGGAATATTACGGTGCCAGACTTGTGACTTTCCGCATGCTGAATTTTGCCAAAAGAATGTCAACTATCTTATAATATTTTTTCAGAAGACACCAGGAAGTTAGCAGCTCTTCAAATTACCCTACAATAAGAGTTTGTCCCCAATTAGCTCTAATCCCATATGGTACGTGTATTCGTTGATGCCGGTTCCTATAGTATGGTCCCTATTAACCGTACTATAGGAATCTTGACTGTATTAGGCTTTTGTAGGTTTTAATATTAACTACAACTTACAACTTTAAATTCACAGCAAAACAATAACATGCTCTGCACGCTCTAGTTCGTCATGGATAAGAGATACAGATTTGAATTATACACATAAGTTGTAGCTAATACCAAACTAAAAAAGCTTCCTACATAATTTTACACAATTCTTCTTATGTAAAAAGTTAGAGGCAAATTAATGTAAATGAGATGAATGTAAATGATTTTCCATGCCTGCTTGTGACTTCGCTGAATATCATGAAAATATAAAAAAAAAAAACAAATCTAAATTTCTTCGAAGATCCCTGGATTTTTTTCTGTATTAATGGAACTGCCTTGATGTTCTCGAATCAACTTGCTGCTACTAGGGGAAACGCTCCTATAGTTGCGGTACGTTAGAAGCGTTAGGTTCCTATAGTTGTGTATGGAGTCTGCATACACAACTATAGGAACCTAACGCTTCTAACGTACCGCAACTATAGGAGCGTTTACCCTACTGTGAACTAGTTCGCAGAAAAGTAGCACTGGCTTCAAAAGCTTTCTTACAGCTTGGCGTTCTGATTGCAACCAAAACTGAACAAAATATTTATTTAATTAATCATAAATTATCCAACATCGAGTATGTTCAGTTTATTTCCAACGGCAGCTTCTGTACAACACCTCCATTGTCGCAAATATTTTTCGCAATATGAGACATCGTGGTAAAGTTTTCCAAATGCATCCGTTTGTTTACACGCTTCAGATTGTTGTTGACTCTGCTGCTTGCCTGAAATGGAGCAATGTTTTTGTTTTTATAACCATACGATATAATTCTTTAATAAACATTTGTTCTTACCTCGATGCACCAAGCCTTGGTCATTAGCACCTCATGCTCTGCCGATGGTAGATTGTTCTCCACAGCTCGCGTCGCCCGCGATAGCACATTTGCCATGGCATAGATGTCGATAGCACTGTCGGCCAATCTAGTCAGTAAAAACTGCTCATCGACAATCCTTTTACCGAACTTAATCAGCAGTGACTCAACGGCCAACGCAAACATATCGATACTCTCGGAGCAGTGTTTTGCGGAATCTTTCAGTGGTTCTGCCACAAACTGACCCAAATCGGTTCCACCGACTCCAAAGCTTCGGGCAGCCCGTCGGGAACCTTCCTTGAATATCAATCCCAAGTTAGCTGTCGGGTGCTTGAAAGCTTTCTGTAGCTCCTTCAAATGTGAACCTCCGTATTGTATCCCCGTCAATGCCACAAACAACCGTAGAACATCATTCGCCCCTTCGAAGATTTTGTAGATCCTCAGATCTCGCAGCACTTTCTCAAGTCCGGTTGCTTTCATGAACCCATTTCCTCCGAGAATTTGGATGGCTTCATCACAAACATGCCACGCTGCTTCCGACGAAAACACCTTCGAAATCGCCGCCTCCAAATGATAGTCCGTCGATCCTTTATCCATATTCCCGGCGATCGTGTAAGCCATAGTTTGAGTCACGTACTGCAACATGGCCATTCGAGCCAGTTTTTCCTGAACGTTCCCGAAATCTTTGATTTTTCGGCCAAACTGAACCCGAGTATTCGCGTGTTCAGTCGCCTTAGCTATGCAAGCTCGCATCGTCCCTGCAAGGGTGGCAGCCATTCCGAATCGTCCGTTGTTCAAAATGTTCATTGCCACCTTAAATCCGTTTCCTTCTCCACCGAGAACATTTTCCGCCGGAATTTTCACATCATCAAAGTACACTTCGGTGGTGTTGGAACAACGGATACCCATCTTGTCTTCCGGAGGTCCGCTCGTCAGACCACCGAAGCCGCGTTCCACGATGAAAGCAGTCACCTTGTCCCGTTTTTGTCCAGTGCGCGAGTCGATGACTTCAGTTTGTGCAAACACCGTGAAAACGTTCGCTATGCCGCCCCCAGTTATCCACAGTTTAGATCCGTTCAAGGTATAATACTTTCCGCACGAACTTTTCACTGCTTTAGATCTGATGGAGCCGGCATCTGAACCGGAGCTAGGCTCGGTAAGTGCAAAAGCAGCGGTCGTTTTCCCGATCATGACCATCGGTAGATATTTACGCTTCTGCTCCTCGGTCCCGTACAGAAGGATTCCCTTCCAACCGATACTTTGATGAGCTCCAAGGACTACGGCTAGCCCTAGATCCACCGCACCAACCGCATCACCCATGGTCGCATAACCGGTGTTGCTTAGGTTCAGACCACCGTACTCTTCGGGACCCATCAATCCATAGTAGCCCATTTCCCACAAAGCATCGGTGGTTGCTTCCGTAGGGCCACCTAGTTTTTCACTTTCCACGGCGTCGTAGCGTTCCTACATCGGAAAAAAAAAATTATGGTCATTTTCCACCTTGACTACACCATTTGAATAGAATGCTAAACTTACGGCAAAGAATCGATGCACCGGGTCAGCTAAGGACTGAATGTATTCCCTTTGTTCCTGGTCGGCTGCCTCCGGGTAGGGAAATATCTGAGCTGGTTCAATTTCTCCTCGGAACAGGTTCGCCATGAAGGACATGTTGGCGGGGGGTTGCTGTTGCGATCGCTTCAGATGCGTAGGGCTGATCGAGAAGCATCTGCAATGTACATACGTAGTTGGAGTTATATGGAGTTTGAATCACAACGAATGGTTCAATGAAATACTGTGGAATTAGTACTGAGCCAATGGCGGAGTGCTTTTTTTGACATCATTACATGTTTTATCGGGATCTTCATTTTCAAGATAGTTTTTGTTGGTAATACTGTGAGAATTATTTCGAATTTGAAGAAAAAAGCAGAGTGCACTTAAAGTGTGTTCTGCAGAGAATATTTGGGCTATCGACTTTCGACGTATTTTCCGGATATGGATAAATTTCCAAGATTCTGGAACACGAGAGGTTTCAAGATGGTATGAAAACAAGAAGCTTAAGATTATTTATTGACAAGCGGCGCCGGTGGTGTAGCGGTAAGCGTGAATACCTCTCACCCAAGCAGGCCTGAGTTCAATCCCAGTTGGCGCCGCCAGGATGTTCTGAGGAATAACATCTCTGAAAAAAGAATTTTTATTGTTGAAAAATATTAACCTCTGTAATCTGAAAGCATCTGAAATGAGTAATCTGCACTAGAGTGGTGACTGCGATGACATTTTTTTTTTCGAACAATGTTATTTTGGTTCCATTTTGGGTCCCAAACAACTGTGCAAAATTTGGGAACGATTGGTTGTAACCCAGCTTTCCGTATTGCGTTTGAAATTTGTATGGAAATTAGTATGGGAACTTTTTTGCGTTTTCATTCCTAGGGATCGCCATTTTGCATGAACCATCCATCTACTCATGTGTGCCTAACAACTTTGCCGAAAGATGTACGGTGCAATAATGCCTCTAAAAAAATTATAGGTTTTCAAAGGTCGATGTTTCGCATTAAATGCCAAAAATAACTTTTCCTGCCAACACTGCCGGTGTACCAATGAAAGTCAGATTCCAAACTGAAATAATTTCGGAGTTGATTATCTTATCGATTTGGTATGATCAGATGAATTATTCAAAAACAATAGATCCTTCTCATATGCGTTGTTAGATAGGGGGGCTTACTACATACTACACCCTCCGACGCCCCACTCACTCATATCAATGGAAGTCATGTTTCAGCCTGAAATAACTTCAGTCTTTCTGATTATGTCAAGTTGGTATGTTCAGATGTGTTCACTAACATTTACTCCATTTAATAGACATTATTGGATTTAGGGGTTAGCTTACTATATCGCTTCTGCCCCCTCACTTATATCGATGAAAGTAAAGATAAAACTTAAATAACTTCGGAGTTTTCCAGGTCTCGAGAGGTTGCAAACCAAAAATGAAATTAATTATGCTCTTGAATCTCTGACTACTTCTATAGTTGAAGCAAGAGCTGCCTCAGTACCGAAATGCGAGGTTAAATTCGATTCAATTATAATAGACGATGATCTTCAGCTCTTGATCCCTCTGAAAAATGTCCGTAGGAGGCAATATCAAATATCAAGATATCTGGCAGGATTTGTAAAAACAAATTTGAAAACTCCCAAAAAAAATTTAAAAATTTCAAAAGCCTATTCCAGCGCTTAAATTAGGTGGTAAAATTTGATCACAAATTTAAAGCTCACAAACTTTCTTAACAATTCGAGAGTTCCCATAATTTTAGTTTGGGTCTTACTAGTCCTATTGACAATCAGGTTGCTCGGGATTATCTGAATATTTTCTCTCGAGATTTTTTTTTATGATTTCTGAGGGACTGATTTGTAGATCCAAAACTAAAAAGTTTTAAAATGTGAAAGCTCCAGGTGATGATGGAACTGTCTATATCCTCATCCAAAATCTCCCAGAGAGTACCTTGTCATTCTTTGTAAAATAATTTAACAGATGTTTCCATTCGGCATACTTTCTTGATAAATAGAAAATTGCAAAGTTGTCCCAATTTTGAAGCCGGATAAAATCCAGCTTGTAGCTACCGGCCAGTAAGTTTGCTTTCAGCAATAAGTAATCTTTTTTTAAAGATTTTTTCAATTTGAACTAAATTTATGCAGATGAGCAGTTTGGATTTCACCATGGGAATCAACTCTTAAGAGGGCTGCTCAACGGGATTTGCTCTTCTAGACATAGAAAAAGCATTCAACAGTTTTTGGCATGAAGGTTTGATTGCCAAATTGAAAAAAAAAGTTTAATTTTCCATTTTATATTATGAAATTCGTTCAAAATTATTCAACTGACAGAACTATGCAGGCATCCCACTGCGTCCTAGCAAGAAGTACGGTCGACTTGTTTCGCGCTCCGTTGTTTTGGAAGTTTTTTCGGTATTCGCTTGATATAATTTATCAGTTTTTTTCTCACTAAGTGACTCCTGGCATAGTTCCCGGTAAATTGATCGAAAAGTGAGTTTTTTTTAGTAGAAAGTGCCATTTTCGGAAAGATTAATCCGTGCTATTGAAAATTCGCAAACAAATTTGGGCATCATCGTTGCGTGGTCACGCATACGCGCTTACCCATACCCGCTCACGTATCATCATCATCGAGTGTGAGCACCCGTTTCTACATCTATATCGTTCATCATTCATCGTGCGCCTGTGTGCGCTGAGTTCCGCGCCTCGATCAAGTGCACCACAGCGAAGGTCATCCACGCTGCGCGTCGCTTCCCAGCCATCTGTGTAAACGCCTACACATATAACGCTCGGTGGTAGTAGTATAGGATTATCAGATAAGTTTTTGTTTTTTTCTTGTTTCTTTTACTCCCCCATTAGTTAAATTTTCGTTTTGTATTTCTGTGTTTGCAGTGTTTTCTGTGTATTGTGTCTGTGCGTTCAGTGGGAGAGCGTTTTGCGCTCCCACTAGTTGAACAAAATGGATGTTTTGTCAGAAGACGACATGGATGACCATTCATCTCAGAAGAATGATGATGTCATCCCTGGTTCGTCGTCTCAGTCTGACAATGGGCAGGCTGAGAAAAGCTCCAGATTGCGGGCCTACCCGAATGACTCGACTGGCCCATGGGTTGTCTATTTTCAGCCCAAAAACAAACCCTTGAATGTTGTTGAGATATCTGATGATCTGACAAAGCGATTCTCTGCCGTGACCGAAATAACGAAGGTTATAGTACGTTCAGACTACAGAGTTATAACACGTTATAGCGCTATCTTGATGGTGGTTTCTGTGTTGCAATTATTTGACAACCGTTATAACATGTTATAACTCTCCAGTCTGGACAGCGTTTTAGGCACAACAAACTTCGTGTGACCGTCGCTAACTTGAAACAGGCTAATGAAATTGCTGTTTCCCAGTTTTTCACACTGGAATATAGGGTGTACATTCCAGCCTCTGATGTGGAGATCGAAGGCGTGGTCACTGAGGCGAGCCTGAACCCCGAGATACTGGAGAAGCAAGCGGTTGGCCGATTCAAGAACCCCTTGCTTCCTCCGGTAAAGATACTGGCCGTTCATAGAATGAAGTCAGTATCGCTCAGCGAGGGTAAAAAGAGTTTTACCCCCACAGACTCGTTTCGGGTGACCTTTTCTGGATCTGCCCTTCCTCAATACATCGAGCTGGGAAAACTTCGTCTTCCTGTGCGGTTGTTTGTACCTCGGGTCATGAACTGCCAGCATTGTAAGCGGTTGGGACATACGGCCTCCCACTGCGGCAACAAGGCACGCTGCTCCAAATGCGGGGAGAAGCATGAGGATGGCGCCTGCGCAGCTACTGCACCAAAATGCGTGTACTGCAACGGAACTTCTCCTCATGCTCTCTCGTCGTGCCCGGCGTACAAACAGCTCGGGGACAAAATGAAACGCTCCCTTAAAGAACGTTCCAGGCGGTCTTTTGCAGAAATGCTTAAGACAGCCACGCCATCGACCAATGACAAAAATCCCTTTTCTCTTTTGTCAGATGACGAGACTGACTCTGACTTGGCTGAGGAGGGAACTTCTTTCAGTTTTCCGGAAGGTTCTGCACGGAAACGAAAGCGCATCCGTTCGCGGATTGTTGCAAATAAAGAACCCCAAATCAGCTTGCCTAAATCAAGGAGTGGTGGAAAAAAGGAGACTTCTACTCCTCCTGGATTCCGCAGAACTGACTATACCCAGGATTTTCCACCACTTCCGGGGACATCCAAAACCCCTGATGCCCCAATTTTAAGAACAGAAACCCCTTCTTCATCTGGGTTGTTCATATTTGATGACATTGTGGACGGTATTCTCAAATACCTCAACATTTCTGATCCTCTGAAAAGCATTGTCCTCACATTGCTTCCCACTGTGAAATCCTTCTTGAAGCAATTGACTTCAAAATGGCCCCTTCTTGCAGCTATCATCTCCTTCGATGGATAATTTTCCAAACGAGGTCGGGGATTTGATCACTGTTCTACAGTGGAATTGTCGAAGTCTTATTCCGAAATTAGATTCGTTCAAGTATTTAGTCCATAACAATAATTGCGATGCATTTGCCCTCTGTGAAACATGGCTCTCTTCAGAAATTGATCTACCTTTTTACGATTTTAACATTATTCGATTAGATCGTGAGGATTCACGTGGAGGAGGGGTACTTTTGGGGATCAAAAAGTGCCATTCCTTCTATAGAGTGAATCTTCCCGAATTCCCCGGTATTGAAGTTGTCGCATGTCAGGCTACCATTAAAGGTAAGAGCCTTTGTATTGCTTCTGTATATATTGCTCCTAGAGTCTCTGTTAATCGCAAACAACTTTTCGACATATGTGCGGTACTTCCCGCTCCATGGTTGATCATGGGAGATTTTAACTCCCACGGTACAGGCTGGGGGGAACTGTACGATGATAACCGTTCTACTTTGATTTATGATCTCTGCGACAACTTCAACATGACAATCCTTAACAATGGAGAAGTAACACGTTTGGCTGGTCCATCCTCGAATGGTAGCAGATTAGACCTCACCTTTTGCTCCAATTCACTATCGTTGGATTGCACTTGGCATGTAATCCAGGATCCGCACGGTAGTGATCATTTGCCGATCAAAATTTCGATTGCCAGTGGGTTCAACTCGTCAGAATCCGTTAACGTCGCGTATGATCTAACCCGTAACATCGATTGGACTAAGTTCC